AAGTACTTCTGCTGGCAGTGCGGCGCCCCCGCAGGGAAGCACCTGAGCAGCAAGATGGTGAAGACGTGCGAAGGATGGCCAAGCGGGAAAGCTTCGCAGTGCGCGTTAAAGACCCTGGTGAGGAAGAAGGGCTGGCCAATCAAACTCAAAACGGCCAAGAACACGAAGAATGGCAGAGAAGCCTCGAGTCAGAACGCAGGGGGGCCTTCCGCCCCCCCGCTGGGTGCAACCTCACCAGCCAACTTGGAAGGTTACGTCGTGCGTTTTGCTGCCAGTGAACCCTCGAGCCAGAAAACAGGGGAACCTCCCGCCCCGTCGCTGATTGGAAGCTCAGTGGCTAACTCGGAAGGTTACGTCGCCGGTTTTGTTGGAAGGCCAGAGGAGATGCGAGCCGAGCGCCAACAGTGCACCGTGGAGAGCGAGACACACCAGGTCAAGATCACGAGCGCGGAGACGAGCAGCACAGAGTGCGCGAACGACGAACACCAGATCACGATCGCGAACACGGAGTATAGCAGCCAGAGGCGCGTGAGGAACGCCTACCAGGTCAAGCTCATGTACGCGGGGAAGAAGCTGGCGGACGGCTGGCGTGACTTCGAGAGCATCGGGGCCACGGTGATGCGGGCTGGCGACCAGCAGCGCGCCGTGGACCCCGACGGCGCAACGGCGACGGCCACAATCGGGGTTTCTGAGTGCATGGGGTTACCGCCAGGCCGATCGCCCAGACAATCGGCTGATTGTAAGCAATTTCGGGAAACAGTTTGGGACGTCCACGGCTCCCCCCATGAATTTGCAAGAGCGCGCGCATATTTTTTCGAAAGCTGATGGTGTAGAGCCAGGTGAGTGTAATCAGCTTTTCGATGTTGAGCTCCTTGCGAAGCCTGGGCGGTTTCTGACGGATTTCGGCGTGCGCGCGCGGCGACGCGCGCGTGTGCATTTCGTTAAGTTCTTTTGCGTTGGGTTTTTGAAACTCATGCTTTTTAATAAACGGGTGTGCGCGCATAGTTTTTTTGTGGAGGTTTCGGGGGCGAAAATGGGTTGCTTGGGATGGGATGTGTGCTTGTTCAGGATGGACGATGGGGCGGAATCGTACCTAATTGCAAGACATAGCGACGGACCTAGAACTTTGGGGGGGCGTAGTTCTTAATATTCTGTTCGGAACGGAGCACCTATGCGGTGGAATTTATGTTGTGCAAGCTGGGGCGGCCACGAAGCAACGACATTTCGGCGACTGCGACAACATAGCAGCCAAACCGATCAACGGGCTCAGACGGCGGGCGGCGACGAGGCGGCGACGGGACGGACACGGCGACAACAACACCGCCAGACTGGCAGACAGGCCCAGACGACGGGCGGCAACGAAACGGCGACGGGGCGGCAACGGCGACAACATAGCCGCCTGACCGACAGGCAGGCACAGACGACGGGCGGCCACGAGGCGGCGACGTTGCGGCGACGGCGAGAACATGGCCGCGACACCGACAGGCATGCCCAGACGACGGGTGGTGACGAGGCGGTGACGGGGCGGCGACAGCGACAACATAGCCGCCAGACCGACAGACAGGCCCAGACGACGGGCGGCGACGAAGCTTCGACAGGGCGGTGACGGCGACAACATACTCGCCAGACCGGCAGACAAGCCTAGTTTCTGAGAGGGGAAGTCAGACTCCTAAGTGCAACAATTGTCTGGGGAACGAGGTTCAATGCGCATGACCAAGCAGTTCCCTGCGGCTGCAACAGGCAATCCCGCCAACGTACCAGCCTGGCATTCTGGGTGGCGGCTGCTCTACGGGGGTACGGGAGGCCGTCACGTGTGACACGTCGCGCCCCCAGGCTGAGGAGAGCCGTGAAGGTAAATGTTGTTGTTGTTGATAATGGTGCTGAAGAGGATGATGGTGATGGTCGTGGTGATGATGATGATGATGATGATGATGATGATGATGATGATGATGATGATGATGATGATGATGATGATGATGATGATGCGTATGCGTATGCGTATGCGAATGCGGATGGTGATGAGGATGGGGATGACGATGACGACGATGGTGATGCTGATGGTGTGAATGACGACGGTGATGGTGCTGACTTGTTGATGATACGGTTGGTTACGAAGATGATGATGCTTATGATGTTGATGTTGACGATGGCGATGATGCTGATACTGATGATGATGATGCTGATGATGACGATGATGATGGTGATGATGATGCTTATGATGATGATGAGGATGATGATGATGCTGATGATTATGATTATGATGATGATGTGTATGGCAATGATGAGGTTGACGACGATGATGCTGCTGCTGATGCTGTTGATGATGATGTTGATGCTGATGCTGCTGATGATGAAGACGACGATGCTGTTGATCATGATGATGACGACGATGATCATGCTGCTGCTGATGCTGGTGATGATGACGACTATGACAGTGCTCCTGCTTATGATGATGACGCTTATATCGATGACGGCGACGAAGACAGTGATGGTGATGATGATGAGGATACTGATGATGATAATGCTGATGCTGATGCTGCTCCTGATGATGCTGATGCTGATGCTGATGACGATGACGATGACGATGATGATGATGATGATGATGATGATGATGATGATGATGATGATGACTATGATGATGATGATGACGATGATGATGATGCTGATGATGCTGATGATGATGCTGATGATGACGATGATGACGATGATGATGATGATGATGATGATGACGATGACGATGATACTGATGATGATGATGATGATGATGATGATGATGATGATGATGATGGTGGTGGTGGTGGTGGTGGTGATGATGATGATGATGATGATGATGATGATGACGTCGATGACGTTATGATGATGATGATGAGGAGGTTGAGGAGGAGGTTGAGGAGGAGCATGAGGAGGAGGACGAAGAAGACGAGGCTGTGACATGTGACACCTTTTGCCTTAACTTCTTGAAGAGCTCTCATGGATCTCATTTGGGTCGTCTTGGGGCTGTGTTGGCCTCGTGTGGGAGAGTCTTGGGGGTCCCTTGGGGCCGTCTTGGGGCCGTCTTGGGGTCCTCTGAGGCCGTCTTGGGGCTCTCAGGGGGCTGTTTTGGGGCCCTCTTGGCGGTGCCTGGTGGCTATCGTGGGGCCGTCTTGGCGCCGTCCTGGGTCGTCGAAGGGTCTTCTAAGGCTATCTTGGGTTCCTTTGGAGGCCATCTTGGACCGCCTTGGGGCTGCCTTGGATACCGCTTGAGCCATCGTGAGGTCCTCTTGGCTCATCTTGGGGGCCTCTTGGGTAGTCTTGGGGCCATCTTGGAGGCTTCTTGGGCTGTCTTGGGCTGACGGAGGCCCGAAAAGGCGAGAATGTGACAAGCCGTCAAAAACAGTGGGAACATCAATGATCTCGGCTGCTTCGGACCCTGTTCGGGGTCACCTTGTGGCCCTCTTGGGCCCTTTTGGAGGTATATGAAGCCGTCTTGAGGCCATCTTGAGCCGCCTTGGGACCATCTCGGGCCGGACTCGAGGCATCGTCGGCCATCTTGACGGCCTTGGTTGCCTGCCTGGGGCTGTCCTGTAAGCCCGAAGCGTGGATATATGTTTTACATGGAATCGTAGCCCCAGAAGCGCGGACTCATTGATTTTAACCGGGCGTCGTGACTCTGGGAGAGGGGGCTGTGCGCGCGCGAGTCTGCGATACGAGGGGGGGTGTCCCTGTAGAATGGCGCAGGATCCCTACCAGGCAGCCCTTGGCATTCTGCCACGCCTTATCGTGCTGGGGGGCACGGTGGCGGATTGAGGACCTTGGGGCGGTACATTCAGTGCGCACGGCTCGGTGGCTGATGTCTACGTCTAGCGCGTTGTAGGAGAAGCCACCACTTGAGGAGCAAATGGAGCAGCTGTTTGTGTTGCCACACCTTTGTGCACTTCTTGTCTCCCTCCTCGCCCTTCCCCCCTCGTTTTTCCAGCGCTTCGCGTCGAGCCGACACTCGCGCATAGACTTGTTGGCGCGAGTCGGGATTCCCGGGGAGCTGATCGGCTCGTATGTATAGTTACATGTACATGCTTACACACATGCATCCGTGTCTCTATACTTATGCGTACAGGTGTAAATATTTATAGGTGTATATGTACATGTACATGTATAGGTGCAGGTGTATGCACTAGCGTATACATAAATACATATATATGTATGTATGTGTAGATATAGGTGTTCAGGTATATCCAAACGGATATGTATAGTTATATGTATATTTATTTGTATATGTGCACATGTGTGAATGTGTACGTGCATATGTTTATATACATGTAAACTTCTATGTGTATGTATGCATAGGTATGAATGGACATGGCTATGCACATTGCTCTATATATATACACGGAATTTCATGCGTATCTGAACCCGTGCATATATATATACATATATAAATGTATGCATATGTTTAGATATATGTAAATGTATGTGTATACGTTTATGCTTATGTATGGGTATTTAAGTGTGTGCATGGTTATGTATACGTGTACATACTTAAGTACATGTCTTTGATAACGCCGATACATAGTCTCACTTACACATGTATATGTACATTCATGTGTGTATATACATGTATGTGTATGCGTATGCGTATGTGTATGTGTATGTGCATGTGAATGTGAATATGGCTATGCATATGTTTGTGTATACGCATTCATATACATATATGTATGTGTATATACATGTGCATGTACATGCCCATTCCTATGGTATACATTCATGTTTGTATGTCTGTATATTTATATGTGCATGCACGAATGTATGTATGTATATATGTATGTAAGCCTGTCTGCATGTGTGTATGTATGTATGTACGTTCAGCAGTATATATTTGTATATATATATACATCTACACACAATCATTTATCAGTTTTCCCGGGCGCCGTGCTGTTGGCGTTGCCTCCTCCCCCGCCCCCTCCCCCTAGCCTCCCCCTTTTCCCCCTCCCTCCACGCGCCTCCCCCTTCCCCCCTCCCTGCAGGACCGCCGTGGCGGAGGGCAGCAAAGGCGCAGGGCCAGAGCACGCGGATGCCACAGCAGCAGTCCCCCTCGCTGCGTCTTCCTCCCTGCCCAGCGAGCTGGGCCTGCAGCGCAGCGTGGTGCTGTCCAGGACGTCGGCGGCGGAAGACGAGGACGCCGCACCTGCTCGCGCCGGCGGCGGGGCTGGCGCCCCGCTCGCCAGCTCCAGCCCCAGCGTGCTGGGCCTGCAGCGCGGCGTGGTGCTGTCCAGGACGACGGCAGCGGAGGACGAAGACGCCGCACCTGCTCGCGCTGGCGGCGAGCTGGGCCTGCAGCGCGGCGTAGTGCTGTCCAGGACGACGGCAGCGGAGGACGAAGACGCCGCGTCTGCTCGCGTCGGCAGCGTGCTGGGCCTGCAGCGCGGCGTGGTGCTGTCCCGGACGACGGCAGCGGAGGACGAGGACGCCGCGTCTGCTCGCGACGGCAGCGTGCTGGGCCTGCAGCGCGGAGTGGTGCTTTCCAGGACGACGGCAGCGGAGGATGAGGACGCCGCGTCTGCTCGCGACGGCAGCGTGCTGGGCCTGCAGCGCGGCGTGGTGCTGTCCAGGACGGCTCCGGCAGAGGGGGGCTGAGGCACCGCCGCGACCCTGGGGCGCGGATCTTCGCGCCCGTGCCCAGCCAGTGTGCCTGCGAGCCTGGTCGTGCAGCTCCATGCCGCAGTGACCGAGGTCGCGCCAGAGGACCAATCGGCTGGGCACCGAGATTTGGGGTCGGGGGGAAGGTAGTCACACGCAGCCCGTTTGTCCTTGGCCTCGCCTATGTATGGCTTCATCCAAGCGGGCTTCTCCGTGTTGGTTTTCAGGGGGGGCGGTCGACTTGGAACCGAGGCAGGGCTTAATCAGCTGTGTCGGAAAGTGTGGCTGGTGGGCGGCCAGGCGGCTCGCTGGTGAGCGAAGGGCGGGTGCCCGACGGGGGGCTGCACGCGGGTTGCCCATCCTACTACTATGCTTACAAAGTTGCCGCTGCTACTGCTCGACTTAGCTCAGCCCAGCGCAGCTCAGATCAGCTCTCGCTTTCGCTTTCGATGTGATATGGCTGCCAGCTGTTAGCCTATATATTTAGCTCAGGTTTCATTCGCAACATCGTCTTCACCTCCTGCTTAGCTTCAACAGCGTCGGCTTGGCTTGACTCAGCCTGTCCTACAGGCTCGGATGCATGTCTCCGAACGCCACACCGAGACCCCAACAACAACCGAAAGACAAATGAAACCTTCTGCGCCCAAGCCCGTCCGCCTCAGCGGACATGTGGTCCAAACGTCCCCCCTCCATACAACTCTAAGCGGGCTTGCGCCTGCGGGGGGGGGGGGCGGGCCTGGGGTCGTCCACTCCTTTAATCGCGCCTGGTTTCGCTTGGTTTCGCCCGGTTGGGCGGCGCAAGCTGCCTGAGACATCCATCTTCGCCATTTGCCAAGTCTCGCCTTTGGTTTCTCCTGAATTCGGCCCGGTGTCGCATGAGACGTCCTCGCAACTTGCTTACTTTCGCCTGGTTTGGGCGCGGTTTCGCCCGAAACGTCCAGCAATTTGCAAGGTTTCGCCATAGTTTCGCCTTGTTTCGGCCAGGTTTCGCCCGAGACGTCCTCGCAATTTGTATGGTTTCGCCTGGTTTCGGCACGGTTTCGCTTGAGACGTCCTTTCATGTTGCTTAATGCCTCATACAAGTCGCGGGTGCCAACACGTGGACAAGAACGCTGTGTAGTGATCACACGTGCTGATCGACATTTGGCACTCCTGTGCTGCAGTGAAACAGGCGAGGTGGTGTGGACATCCGAAGTGCAGTGTATGATCGGCCATTGTATCACATGCTGCAACCATCGTTCACATAATTCATGCTGCTATGCGGCATTGGTCAACGTGGCGGCGTTAGGAGAAAACCTTCCCAGACTGTAGCTGAGTGTTATCACCGCCTAGCTTGGCTCAGCTAAGGTCTGCCCAGCCTCGCCTAGCTGACCCCTAGTCTGGGTCAGCTTATTATCTTGGTCTAGCGCGTCGCAGTTGAGCTGATCAGATTGCGGTCGCTGTCCCTACCTCTGCTTCTATCCAGCTGACTGCGGCAAACCCACCACCGTGCCAGCGCAGCGTCGACATACAACATGCAGGATGGTGTTGAAGAGCTCTCCCGCAAAAGCTATTCCAATTCACATATTTTTATAGGGCCGGGGACCCCGGAAAAAGCCCCCCCCCCCCCCCCCCTAACGAATTTGGCCCACCCTGGGCCTGTCGGGCAACCCTCTAGACGCGAGACGCGATGGAGAGATACCAAGGTGCATGGCGCGAAGCGCCAATGCAATCATCTCTCTATACAGATATATGTAAATATGTATATGTATATTTTATATCTCTATTATCTCATAACAGTTATTATCTCGGGGCAGTTTGGGAAACAGCGCTGCGATGCTGTGGTGAGGTGTGGCCGTACTGTTGCATGATGGTAGCTTGTTCTTTGCTCGGAGGCTTCTTGGGGTCCTCGCGGAAGCCTCTTTTGGGGCCCCTTGGAGGCTCGTCGGACACCTGGCACTGGCCGGTCCGCTGGGTCGCCACGCCCGATCGGGGAAGGTCACCACCCACCAAACCACCCCAACCCAACCCGAAGGCTCAGATTTACCCTCGATTTCCAGTGGGGGGGGTCGGGAAACATCGAAAAAACACATGTGGAAACCTTAACCCCCCCAACCCGAAATTCGGGTCTTCGGGTTGGGTTGGGGTGGTCTGGTAGGTAGTCAGAAGGAGAGGACCGCCAGATGGGAAGAGAGATGCGTGCTGAGGAGGACGGAGGGAGATGGAGGACAGTCCCAGCGGTCCTCACGCGCTCGTTCATCGGTTTGGCTATGTTCGGAGTCGCGCGGGCATCGCGCGTGCTCGCAGGGCGGGTCGTGCGGCAACGCGGGGCGCGGATGGCGGGTGGTGGTGGTGGTGGTGGTGGTGGTGGTGGTGGTGCGGGTGGTGGTGTTGGATAGAGGATGGAGGTCGGAGGTCGGATGATGGATGGTGGAGGATGGAGAAAGAGGAGGCAGGTGGAGACGGGGGAGGAGAGTGAGGATGAGAAGGGGAAGGAGGAGGAGGAGGAGGAGGAGGAGGAGGAGGAGGAACAAGAAGATGAGGATAAGGATGATGATGGTGAATCTTTGGATGGTAATGAGGATGAGGAAGAGGAGAAAGGGGAGGCGGAGGAGTACGACGACCAGTGTAAACCCAAGACTCGTCAACGATGTTGGGATATACCCTTCCTCCGAGCTCCCTCTTCATAGGCCCTACAAGGGTTCGTTTCCCCTGAGGGAAGTGCCCCGGTGGGAGAGAACCGTTTGAAGATCCTGAAGCGCGCCAAAACATCATTCTCATCACTTCGACGCCACGAGTCAACTTGACTGTTTCGTCTTGACGGTCTTGAGTCGTGCCAGAACACCATTCCTGGGACTTCAACACCGCGAATCAACGTAACTGCTGCGCCCTGACAGTCCTGCATCGTTCCAAAACGCCGTTTCTGGTACGTTTACCATGAGCACAGTGAAAACTTACCATGCCTTAAACGAGTTTGCGCGGCGCTAAGGCGAGAGCCACATTTTCAAAAGGAACTGCCCTCAATCCGCGAAACGCTTGCAGAGGTTAAAAAAAACGATGGTGCGCGGCGCCCAGGCGAGAGCCACATGTTAAAAACTAACCGCCCACAATGCGTGAAACTCCTCCACATGTTCAGAAAAAACTGTGCATGGCGCTAAAGCGATAAACAACATTTGCCTTCAACATGTGAAGCTCTTCCATCTGTTTGAACGAATGTGCGTGGCGCTAAGGCGAGAGCCACGTTTTGGAAACGACCTGTCCTCAATCCGTGAAGCTCTAGCAATGTTTTGAACATGTGCGCGACGCCCAGGCGAGAGCCAAATTTTGGAAGCGACCCACCCTCAATGTGTGAAACTGTTGCCAGTTTTACGAGCTTGAGGTTCAGAAATGGTAAGGAAGTCTCAGGCGAAACGCTTGGCCCGCCCTTCCGACTGGCCTCGAGATGCGGCAGAGAGGAGTCATTCCGAAGGACAAGAAATGGAGGAGGAAGAGGATGAAGGATGGAGGATGATGGTCGGGTGACAGATCATCGGGACAGGGGAGTAGGAACAGCTCATCTGTTGCCCTTCCGACTCTAAGCCTATCGCAGACCCGAGCGCTGTACTCATCCCCCCAACCTCCTGATCACCCGGCAAGTGACCTGTGAGACGAGGAAGCCAGGAGCATGCGGGCGAGAAAGAGGAGGACGACGATCAGGAGGACAAAGGGGACGATCATGAGACGGAAGAAAGGACGGGGAAGAGGATGGAGGAGGACGACGAGGAAGAAGAGTAGTCGTAGTCTAAGGCGGAGGAGGAGGTGGAGAAGGAGGATGAGGAATATGACCAGTGTAAACCTAATTCTCACCAACGATGTTGGAATACACTCTCCCTCCAAGCTCCCTCTTCATAGGCTCCGACAGGGGTCAATTTCCACTGAGGGAAATGGCCCATTGGGGGACAACCGTGTGGAAATCTTGAAGCGTGCCAAGGGATCATTCTCAGGATTTCACGCCACGAATGAACTTGACTGTTGCGCCTTGGTGATTCGGAGTCGTGACAGAACACCATTTCTGGGACTTCAGCACCGCGAATCAATGTAACTGTTGCGTCCTGACTTTTCTGAATCAGTCCAACACATGTCTGGTACGTGAAGCATGAGAATCAATGAACCTCTGGAGAATGTTTGAAACGAATGCGCGGGGCGCCAAGGCGAGAGCCACTTTTGGGACAGGAGCCGCTCTCAATCCTCGAAGTTTCCGCATTTGTTTAACGAATGAGCGCGGCGCCCAGGCGAGAGCTACATTTTGAAAACGAGCCGCCCTCAATCCGTGAGGCTCTTGCACATGTTTAAGACGAATGTGCGTGGCGTTAAGGCGAGAGTTTTTTTTTGAAGACGACCTGCCCCAAACCCATGCAACTTCTACATTTTTAAGAAAGAATGTGCGCGGCGCCCAGGCGAGAGCCACATTTTGAGAACCAGCCGCGCTCCATGTGTGAAGCGGTTGCCAGTGTTTAAGCTTCAGGCTCATACATGGTAAGAGAATCTCCGTCCAAACGCCCAGCCCGCCGCTCTGGCTGGCTTCGTTCGGTGTGCGACAGAAAGGAGTTACTCACACGGGAAAGGATGGAGGAGGAGGAGGAGGAGGAGGAGGAGGAGGAGGAGAGGGAGGAGGGAGGAGGAGGAGAAGAGGGAGTATGAGGAGGACGAGTAGTAGTAGTAGTAGTAGTAGTAGTAGTAGTAGTAGTAGTAGTAGTAGTAGTAGTAGTAGTAGTAGTAGTAGTAGCAGTAGTAGTAGTAGTAGTAGTACTAGTAGTAGTAGTAGTAGTAGTAGCAGTAGCAGTAGTAGTAGTAGTAGTAGTAGTAGTAGTAGTAGTAGTAGTAGTAGGTAACGCCGTGCCCGTCCGGGTCGTGTAGTAGTGAACGGCTGTTCTGAAGATGTGTCGCTGTCTCTCTCTTTCTTTGGCACTGAAGTATCTGTTTTAGAGGTTTATGTGGCCGTTGTTGGATCCCAGAACATAAATTTACCTTAAGAGTTTGACACTCGGCTTTCGGTTTTAAGTTGCCCCCCGTCCATACAATCGAGCATGATGGAAGCGAACGCCGTCTCCGTCCGGGCCCGCCGTGTTCGATCCCAAAGATATTTCATTGTTTTGCATTGGGCTGCTTTGCATTATTTTGTATTGCTTCCATTTGGGTTGCTCAATAGATGTCTGCTGAGGTTGCATTGGGAGCTTACAACATGATGATGATGTTGAAGAAGGTGATGATAATGATGATGATGACGATGATGACGATGATGATGGTGGTGATGGTGATGGTGACGATTAGTATGATGACGATGATGGCGATGATGATGATGACGATGATGGCGATGATGATGATGCTGATGTATGGCGATGATGATGCTGATTACGACGATGATGATGATGGTGGCGATGATGATGATTATGATGGTGATGAGGATGCTGGTGGTGATTGTGATGATGCTGGTGATGATCACGATTCATGACGATGATGGTGGTGATAATGATGATGACGATGATGAAGATGATATTGGTGATGCTCATTATGATGATGATGTTTATGACGATTCTGATGATGATGGCGATAATCATGACGGGGATTATGCAAGTGATAACGTACTCAATTCGGCCGCGCTGATCAATGCTCGTCCCTGGGCGCTTGCATTCGGCATGCACGCCCAGGGAGCCCTCGGGCCCCAAGGGCAGGCGGGTTCTTTAGGATTCGCTGAGGATTCGGTCGGATTCTTTCGGATTCCTTGGGGTTCCCTCGGATTCGCTAGGTTTTCTTGGGATTCCCTTCGGATTCGCTAGCATTCCGTCAGGATTCCCTTAGGATTCCCTCAGGATTCCTAGGCGCTTATACACTTCAGGGATTCCTGAGGCGCGCAAGCGCGAACCCGGACGGGAACGGCGTGCGGTCTGCGCAAGGATTCCTTAGGATTCCATTAGGATTCGCTGAGGATTCGGTGGGGTTCCTTAGGATTCCTTAGGATTCCTTCGGATTCGCGAGATTTCCTTAGGATTCCCTTCGGATTCGCTCGCATTCCTTCCGGATTCCCTTGGGATTCCCGCAGGATTCCTAGGCGCTTATACACTTCAGGAATTTTTGAGGCGCGCAAGCGCGAACCCGGACGGGAACGGCGTGCGGTGTGCGCATGGATTCCTTAGGATTCCATTAGGATTCGCTGAGGAATCGGTAGGATTCCTCAGGATTCCTTAGGATTCCTTCGGATTCGCAAGCATTCCTTAGGATTCCCTTCGGATTCGCTAGCATTCCGTCAGGATTCCCTTAGGATTCCATCGGGATTCCTATGCGCTTATGCACTTCAGGGATTCCTGAGGCGCGCAAGCGCAAAGCCGGACGGGAACGGCGTGCGGTCTGCGCAAGGATTCCTTAGGATTCCATTCGGATTCGCTGAGGATGCTGTAGGATTCCTTGGGATTTCGTAGGATTCCTTCGGATTCGCTAGGTTTCCTTAGGATTC